GTTGTTTTGGTACAATAAAAAGAAATTCGATTTTTTGAAACTGATTTAAGATTCTCGACGCTTACAGACATACGCTCTTAAGTAAATACCTTAGTGACGTCAGCAACGCAACGCTATTTTCTCCGGTTACCAAGGGCGCTTGGGGAAATATTGGTGTTTTTTAACCGTTAGAAACTGTTGAACTGTTACTTATCTGTTCTGTTATGTGCTGGCTTGATTTGTTCAGTCTTCCCGTCTATATACGCCAAAAATACTGCCGTGACCAACGGTTGAACCGTTGGTCAGAGCAGTATTTTTGGCGTATATAGAAGGGGAAAACTGAACAAATCAAGCCAGGACATAACAGAACGGATAAGTAACAGTTCAAACAGTTTCTAACGGCTAAAAAAAACACCAATATTTGCCCAGGCGCCCTTGGTATTACTAATCGAGTGTCATTCCACTCCACTGGTTAAAAGATATACAAAAGCGGTACATTTTTATTTTAACAAGATGCCTTATAGGCATGCACTGGGTTGCCTGTATAATATGCAAAGGAAAAGCAGTATATAACCTCTAAATGCTAGTGAAATACGCATTAGAAAAGAATGACTTTATTGAACTAGCTTATATAATGGACGGGTTACAGTAGGCCCTGACTCTTGTCGACCTTCTTCAATTCCCCCTTTGTCCCCCACCTGCATCCCGGGATATGTGTGGAAATTTAGTAATGCAACAACAACAGTAGAGTGCAAACAATTAATCCGTGAAACACTAATTACTAAATAGTACAAAATAGTGCTAGTTAAACAATAGAAAACAATGGAATTTACATGAAACTGCGCTATTTAGTGTTACGAAAGTTTCACAGTTATATTGTTTGCACTCTACTTCTACAGCGAACTAAAACTGACAAATGCCACAGTATATGAGGAAGAAATTTGCAATAAATGGCAAATAATAAAGATCCACCCACTGGAACAACTAAATTTGGCTTGGCAAAATAATTTTCTTAAGCCAGGATGTAATTTAGGGAAAGTTAAAACGTAGTCCAAGGGGGGGGGGGGGGAGCAGAGTGGTTCAGTGGTATTTAGAGAGTTTTAGATTGACTTTTTTTCTCCCTGCAAACGGCAAACGTGACCACGTTTTCATCGTTTTCCTGTATTTAAGTTAACCTCTTGCAAACTTTCTTACCAAAGACAAATATTCTTTTGTTTTTCTACTACTTGGACTTTTTTGCGATTCTTTCTCAGCTATTTGAAACGATTTTTCACTGGTCAACTGACGTTTCAAGTTTGCTGTAAACGTAAATTTAAAATTCTCTCTTGGCAGGGTTTACAGTGTGGCAGCCCTGTCGTGTTGTTTGGCCAAGTGCTTGTAGAGCTTTCGCCTCGCCAATCACCTATAAGTTCAGAGGATGAAGTGTAGAACATGGGACATCTACCTCTTTTAGGTGTCATGGGTGCTAGGGGTGCAGGAGCCTGGTTGTCATGGTAACCTCTTCAAACGTTACGGTTAGGGGCTACCATGTCTTTCACTCATGCCAAAATTACCACTACCATGAGCTTTAATATGTAGTTACTTTTAAAAATTGTAAAATGCTGCAATCTTTGGTTAAAAATGGCCTCCATATTTGAATTTACGAAACGAATCCTGATGTAGTGCTAGACATTGCTTGAGCAGGGATGACAGGATATGTGAATTCCATTAATACGCAGGACGCAAAGAATTGTTAAAAAGGTAGTATTAATCCCCACGAAAGCCTCACATATCCTGAGATTGCGGAGTGGGGGATTAGCTTTGACTGGTAGTAAATAGACCTCGTTTTGAGTAGATAGAACAGACGATGTCAGTACAGGTCACAAGTCAATCTGGGAAATAAAGTAGTATAAAATGAAACAGTTCTTGTGGTATCCCAATGTCTTATACGTTTAGAAATTCCAGTACTTAGTACAAAAATGGGAAATGGAATGATTTTTTATGCTTCACAAACTTAGACTACAAAAACTCAAATAAGGGTAATGTTGGTAATTGGAATACAATAAATGTGATGTAATACCCAGTTTGTTTGAACTACTCTGTTAAATAGGAAATTGTTTACCAGTATTACAATAAAAATGAATAAAGTCTTGATCATCTGATCAATAACAGGGCTAGAATGATAGATGCTTGTTATATTGTCTAATATTGTCTATAAAGTATGTGTTGTATTGAAATACAAGAAAAATACTAACATTTCAATGTCGAGATTTATAAACCTCTTTACTGAATCAGAATTTGCAATATGCTGCAGTCATTTGATATAAAGTTAAGATATAATAATCATATACTAAGTATCAGTGATACATCATACTGTGTACATCATGCTGTGATTGAGTAAAGGAAGTGTTTATAAATCTGGACACAAACACAAATTCTAATTCACGATAACTCCTGCTTTTTCTTAAAGCACGTGCTAGATGTTTATTTATTCAGTCAGTCAGTCAGTCAGTCAGTCAATCAGTCAGTCAGTTATTTATTCATTTATAATAACTTTATTTGCAAACAAATAATGATGGAAAAAAGTTGCAAAAAAGGTGCTGCCAGGGAAGAACTGAATCCTCATATACGGCAGCCCCCACTAACTAATGAGGAATCCTAGGGATCCTAGGGATCCTGCTTGGTTCACGATCGCGTGTAGCAGCATTGCATCTTTGTCGTAAACAATTATTGGTAATCATAACACGTAAACGAGGTCAGGCTATCCAGTTTATTTGGCTACACAACTTTTATTTTTACTGACAACATTTTTTTTGGCCGTATAATAGTTACTCAAAGCGTTTATATAATGATATTTATTATATACTTAGGATAGTACGCTGGCACTGATTGGTCGCAAACTGTGCTTTATTAGTGAACGGAGCACATTGCTTACGCTATCCGCGCGCGCAAAGTAAATAAATAAATTCAATACCAAAATAAGATTAGTAACTGTATAATAAAACGAATAAAACAGCTTCTTCCGTGCTCCGTTCAGTGATAAAGCATCTAAGAAACGCCGTAAGCACTCAAGAAGTGTGAGAAGCACTCACCTACACCTGGTGTTTCCCCTTACATTTTTTTCGTGCTTACGCCACTTCCTGCGTGCTTTATTACTGAACGGAGCACAGAAAAGGCTGTTTTATTTGTTAATAGACCTCTTCGGCTCTGACGTAATGTTTTCCCATTTCAGACCACATGTCATTCCCTAGAGTATCATTTCTTTGTTTAAGGTTTGCGTTAGGTTGCACATGAGAAGACACATGAATATGGATACAGCTCAAACAAAGAATCTTATTCTCATGGTCTGGAATGGGACAACATTACCCCAAGCCGAAGAGGTCTATTATACATTGATCGTTTACATTACTGTTTCGTTTCTATATATTTGATATAATGATATACACTAGTATACACTAGTCACGCTATGCACAATGGTTTACACCTTGAATGGATACCATAGAATATCCAATAACGCACTCGCATTTTCTAGTATACACTATATAACTATATGATTATACGATATGTTAGGTAAAGTACGTTTTCTTATTGAGGGAGGACTGGGCAGAGGGGGGATCATCAGTAATAATTTAAACTGTTCAGGATGGTCAAGCCATGTTTTGGCAAAGACTGTCTCCTTCTTGACCTAATAGGAGGACATGAATTTCCTATTGAAAGGGGGAGGACTACGACGTTTTTAAAAAGTTTACCCGGCGAATCCCCCCAGGCCCTCCATCCCCCCACCAACTCCTTCCGATAAAAAAGTACCTTCCCTTATGCTAAATGGGTTTATTGAATTTGTAGGTAGCCTAATTTATTCAGATTTACATTGAACTTCATTTTCTCTTTCACTTTATCAGCAGTTATATATCAAACACTTTTAAATTATTACCTGTAATATACTTGTATTATAATGAAAAAGATCGAAATTCATTAATATACACATATCATTTGCTTGGTGTCAATGAAATCACCTTAATGAATCTTAAGAACTTTAGCACTTGCCTACAATGACAGGCAAACACTGCCCGTCATGTGCATTATATTTTTTGGTATCAATCAACTCAGAATAGGGCTACAATAACAATAAAACACTGCCCGTCATGTGGTATCAACCAGAGAGCATTCTATTGTTTGGTATCAATCAGCTCAGAATGAGGCTACAATTACAATAAAACACTGTTGTCATGTGGTATCAACCAGAGAATACTGCATGTCCTTAAAATAGCTGTACTCGGTGGCTTCCTCTGTCCGCCACAGCAATGTTTCCATTCTCTGATATCGCTATGCCAGTTGGTTTGCAAAAGAAACTGTTGTCCTTAGACGAATCAGGATCCTTTCCAATCTTCTTGACGAACTCTCCATCAGAGTTAAAAATTTGGACGTTCAGGTTCTTTAAATCTGCTACAGCAACATGGCCTTCAGAATCCGTGGAGATACCAGCAGGGCAGCTGAACTGACCATCATTGGTGCCTTTTTCTCCAAACTTGTATAGAAAATTACCTTGGCTATCAAAGACCTGAATACGGAAATTACCAGCGTCGGAGACAAGAATCTCCCCTTTTGGAGTAACCGAGATGTGCCGAGGGCAGTTGAACTTTCCGTCGGCATCTCCGTAACTGCCGAAGCGGAAAATCGGATTTCCATCGACGTCAAAGACGTTTATTCGGTGGTTGTCGCGATCTGCGACAATGACGCGGTCATTGGAATCCACCGCGACCCCACATGGACCTTTGAGTTGACCAGAACCTGTTCCTTTGCTGCCAAACTTACGAATGAATTCTCCTTCTTGTGTAAATACCTGGGGGAAAAAAATTGTAAAAAAGGTAAAAGTAAAGCCCTTATTTCTTACTGCGCATGCTCAACGAAACAATTATTTCTTTGAGCATGCGCAGTAAGAAATAAGGGCTCTGGGTACGAGATTGTACTACATGCAAGTCTGTCGAGCATGCGCAGTGAACTTTTCTTGTGAAAAACGATCCATAGCGGAAAGAGAACATGAATTTGCTGCCTCTGGAGTATTGAATTCGATTCCTGGGCTCGGTAAGACACAGGTGAGTAGAGTTAGGGTTCCCTCTTGATTCGAGGGTTTTCTTCTGTTTTTTTTCTTCTACAAGCTTAATTCCAATTTAAACTGTGAGTTTGACTTTGATCAACCAAGAGGTTAATTGTTTGCTAGGGTTCGATCTGTGAGTTTAGCAAAGCCCTGACTTAGATCAGCCCAGAGGTCGTTTCAGGGTTCGATCTGTGAACTAGATGTGCCCTGACTGGGTATCGATGCAATTTGAAGTTAATATACAATAAATACTCATAGTGTTCATTACTAACCTGTATCCTGTTGTTACCATGATCTGATACAAAGATGTTGCCTCCTTTGTCAACCGCCACTCCCGCTGGGTACCAGACCTCCCCGTCTCCCTTACCGCGGATGCCAAACTTAAACACCATTTGGCCATTAGCATCATAAATCTAAACACATCAAAATTGACTTAGTATCCTTTAGCAAAAGCCCCTTTTACCCTGGGCGTAATGTTTTTTTCCATTTCAGACCACATGTCATTCCCTAGAGTATGACTTTCTTGTGTAATGGTTGCCAATAGGATCAATACTGAGAACATTTGAACATATTATCATTTCAACCGTGATCATGAGGTTCTGTTAATTTCTTACACTTATTATCGTGTTATTTGAACATTAAAATATACAACATGGCTGACGAAGTGAAGGAATATCTATTTGAACCACAGGGATCCCACGTTATGGATTTCATACCTGAATGGAGTGGTTATGATGATCTGTCACAACCAGCTGACCCTTTGGATTGATTGCGACGCCCCATGGCTCATGGGTTTCATCAGATGAATTGGAATCCTCTCCAGCTGGAGTCAGGGTTAGGACTGGTGAAGAGATCTTCTCACAGTCGATTCCAGCAGTCACCTGATAAAGATATGTACAGTTTGACGCATGCGCAAAGAGGGTGCATTTATCTATTTCCCCGTCTTTGTTTTAAAGGAAACAGGCAATGCAGCTTTTAAAGCTGTTGCACGGGTGGCGTAGCACTAGGCAAACCAGGTTCGATACCCGGACTCGGTGCCGGGTGAGTAGAGTAGATGTGAGTAGATTTAAATGCTTGTACGTTGGTTCTCTTTTGTGCTTTGAAGGCATTTCTCCTGTTTTCCTATCTCAACAAAATTTAGGTTCTAAAATCCATTTGGAAGAAGAGCCACTCCGTCGAACCACTGTTCTACGATAACTTACAAATTTCTCGCGTGCTGAATGGTTATTTTTTTATCACCACTAATATTTGTCTATTAATTGCCATTTATTTTATTTCTTTCTCTCATACGAATCTGCGCTTTTAAGTATGTCTTGCTTACCTGCAGATCAAAGGGGCTTCCCTGGATGTGTTTGCCTCTGAGTGTAACGTTAACTTCGTGGTCTCCCTTCATACATGGAGTAAAAGAGACAGTATAGGTGCCGTCCTCATTATCCACAACATCCGCAATCAAGGGGGAGCCAGATGGACAACGTATTTTAACCGATATTGGATCGTTACCTTAAAGCAAATAAGAAATTATATGAGTTATTATTGATTATTTCCCGATTTCTGTGTGCAATTTTCTTTTGCTTCATTGTTCTGTGATATTTGAAAGGTCATGACACTGATATCCTAGGAGAGTTTTAAGTTCTTAGACTTGGTAAACAAGCCAACAAATCATGATAGGATGTTAAGTAATTTCAGACGAATCGACATTCCCTAGAGTATCATAATTATAAGGGATCAAGAGACCATGAATTTAACAAGGCACCGATATTTTGTGTCCTTCCGCATGTACCGCAAACCTATTGTATTCGTTGTCAGCTTCGTTCTATTGTATAACATGGAGTCTTTTGTTGTTTTAATTGAATTAAGTAAACTGTGTCGAGCACAAGGAGCCGATATTGTTTTAACTATACCTGATGTACAGGCCTCTCCACTTCGATCCTTGGCCAAAACAGTGAACTTAGCAACATATCCAACCTTGGCGCGAACCAGCCCTGGGCCTTCTGCGCATGTCAGTAGAGGGAATGCTGAGCTTGTCGTTACTTTACCGAGCCTTAAAATGACCTTGGAAAGAGCTGCGTCATTTGATGTGAAGTAAACTATATCGTTATCTTCAGGTTCGGTTTGTGATTCGTGGTCGTTGAGTTGAGTGAGTCTGCTGACAATCTGCGGCTTCACAAGCATGACTTCAGCCTCGTTTCCATACCTGAAAAATATACAAAGTATTTTAATACAATGCTATTAGAAATGAGAAATGAGCTGTTTGAATAGCTGCCGCTGCAGATGGAAATACCTGAGAACATTTTCTGTAAAGTCACTGCTGCTGAGAAGGTTAGAAAGATCAAGTTCGAGAATTTCTTGTTGATTTGTCAAAACCTGAAAGAACAAAATGGAAATCTATTAATACAATTGGTCTAGGATGGATGGATGGATGGATG